AATTGATTTTTTCGAATTTATTCCTAAGGGTCTTTCTCCCGGAATTGCCTCCTTCTAAGCACTATAATTTTCTTTCATTTCTATATCTGTTCTATCATAGTGCCATGCGGTCCTCATATTCATATAGTCTAATGTACAACGTGAAAGTGGCTGTCTTACAGTTCTTTTATTGTTGTCGTTGTTTCGCGCAGATAAAAACGAAGTGTCTAAACAACTCATGGTCTTCACTCGCAACGCCATTTCAAAGTGATTCACTCCTCCAATAACTTCCCTCGAATTTTCTCAAGGCGAAGCTCTATATGCGCATGCGCAATTCGTATCAAGGATGCAATGCTAAGAATATTGCTATCTAAAACAGGACCTTTTGGTTTTCGTTTTTTTTCAAATTGTGCAGACTAATAATAACAACAATGTTGAAACAAACCTTGTCTCTTGTCTTTTTCGTTTTAGCTGTTTTCGATATCTTTAATCTCTCCAGGTCCATGACTAGTTCTCTTTCTGATTTCAAAAGCATTGCATATTCAATATCAAGCTAAAATAATTATACTTATATTTACTATAAACAATTGTAAAGAAAATATATCATATTTTACTTAATATATTGTTTCTTTGCTGTGACCAAGGCCAACATTAGGCCTATTGTTACACTCGAAAGTCAAAGGGGTTCAGAGGGGAACTGAAAGGCAGTCCTGCAGGATCCCCTCTTAGAAATTGAGTATATGCCAACCCCCCCTCCGACATCATCATTACAATTGTGCATTCCCAGGTCAATCACAAAGAAGTGGGAGTGAATAGTATGAACCAGGTGTAAGCGATGTATTAAATCAAAAAAATAGTAGTATTGAAATAATATCAATACCATTGATAGTGAGTTGAGCATTTTTCTCAGAGATTCTTTTCCGTTCTTTCTCGGACTTCTCTAGAAGCTCTGTAGCACTKCGTTTGTCTTTTTCTACTTTTTCAACAAGTGCAGTCAATTGCTCATTTTCCTCCATTAAACGCTGACGTTCCTACAATAAATAATCATAAATGATATAAAAACTTTGAGAAAAGTACCGTTTTTTATCGAAAAGTACAGTGTTAAAAGGGTGGCCGTTTTAAGTGGGCAGAAAGGTACATGGAATGAGGGCTTAATCTGGTCGCAATAATTTAGAGGCCGTATTAATCGGGTAGTGGTAAGACGGGGTTCAACTGTACGGGGTTCGAATCCCAGCGAGGTCGGAAATTAATTTTTCCGAATTTATTCCTAAGGGACTTCTCCCGGAATTGCCTCCTTCTAAGCACTATAACTTTCTTTCATCTCCATATCGTGTTCAACTGTACTGTTTTTATCTTTGATGCGGGATTCCTGTGGTGGCAGAGTCAACCACAGGGTTCCCAAAKATTACCTTTCTAACTTCTTTCACTTCATTATTGCAGTCAGCATAACGTATTTCAAGATTCTTTATTTCTGCCTGAAGAATAATAATGATATTTTGGTTGAAAAATCATCACTTATCAAATCTCTAATTCCTTGTAAGACTAACAGTTTTTTTAATATAATCAATATTGACTTTTCAAGATTTTTCCCTGCCTTTTGTTTCCAAATTTAAAAGTTATAACTACGTTKGCTTAAAAGGAATTGACAAAGGAATTTATTGGAACTGATAAAAATTATGGTCTGTRTCCATCATCCCCACCCCTTCMCCCTACATCTACATACCCTTGCATCTGTRAGATCTCGCCTCATCAAGTTGACATCCATTGTTCTTTCTTCCTCAAACCTTTTTGATGCTCTATCGATATTCTTTAGCTCCATCATTAATTCTGCATTTTTRGCTTCAAGTTCTTCTGACTTCTCAGCCTCCATATCACGCTTGTCGACAGCATTTTKTAATCTCTTTTCAAGATCACGATTAGCTTGTTGAAGATAATCAACCTATGGAATAATGATAAAACAAGGGTTAGCAAGTTTAGCAAAGTTTTTGTTGTTTTTCTCCAAGGCAGGACGGAAGTAATCGCCCTCAACAGTCAGTAAAGAGAGTATTGTGTGCAACTATGAAATCCAGGTCATTTCACACCTGGAAATAGGCCAGGAAATAGAAATATTGAATCTGGACAGCAGCCTAGCACTGATAATTCAGTGGTTTGGCCGATCAGACAACCTCAGTCCTCTGTCTCTTCCCTTCCAAGAACTGGGCAAGGTTACCATGACAACCTCCTACCTAACCAATGGATAATCAAGGTAACCATGACTATCACTGGCTAGTATGGCTATCTCTTCTTGCCATACAAATATGACTACCCCTACAGTGCAGCTACCCAGGAACTTGGCAATGAAATGTTTCTTATGGAAGTGTTTTAGACAGCAAGCCCAGCCTTGAAATAATGATGAGTTTAAAAGCAGTCATACCTGAACATTAAGATGAGCAACAACCCTGTCACTACTGTCTGACTTGACATCTCTAGTGACAGCATCTAGTGGACGTCCACCCTCCAGCAGCCTGTTYAGTCTCTCAATCTCTTTGTCCCTGGATTCAACCTAAAATAATAGCACAATTTGAATACTGTCTTCTTCTTTTTCAGATGATATTATTAATTTGCCTGAAGTTTCTTATGTTAAAATGGTCTTCCTGTGTGAACAATAACACAGGAAGACCAGTACTAGAGACCATGTTGGTGGTTCATTGACAACACATTTCATTATTTTGGAAATAGATGTCTATCCTGAAAAACCAACTGTAAGTCATAAGGATACCACATTAAGCATTACAACAGCCTAAATTTGGCAAAAGTAGCCAGTCCAAATGTATTAATGGTACCAGATTTCCCAAAGTGCCATCTTCTTATGAAATCCCTAATTATCTATTGCACTACTAAACATAGCTGCCAGTCCTGTGAAACCCCTAGATCGCGCATATAATGTACAATAAACTTTTTCAGATGTGTTTCACTATAATTATCACTTTGAAAWGCCAAGAAATCAATATTTGATATAATATATTTGAATATTAAATTTATACTTGAAATGCCCATTCTTTCTTTTATTTCGTTATTTCTGTCTTTTTTGATTTTTGTTTTTTGAGATATTTTATGCTCTAAACTGACAGCAAAATAATTATATTTTTAAAAAGCTTCCATCAGTTTTCTAATGCTGTAATAATTTACAAATTAAATTACACCAAATGAATTTGAGCATAAGTTAGATTATCCCTAAATACTAAAAGAACAATKTCAGTAGCTGCTCTTTTTAATAAAATGTCAACCAATTTGAAGAGCATTTCCTTTGATTAAGGCAATGTAAATAGACAGCAAGGATATAACCACTTTAGTAACATTAAATCAGAAACAGCTGGAAATTATTCCAACTTTCCTGGAGAGAAATTTAAAAAAAAATCTCAATAATCATGTTCTAAGAAATGGTACTAAAAGCAAAAAGAATGCACTGAAAGAAATTGCTTATTGCCACAAGACAAATATGARGATGAAGAGATAGGAGAAAAAAATATTATCATATGCCCTTGCCAGGACTTGAAKCCACAATCCAGTATTGTTCACACTGCCTCTACAACAGCTACACTCTTAACTACTAGTAGCACTTACTAAAATACAGAATAATTCACACAGTGAGAGGAAAGATGCCTGTTGGTTTTAAACATAACTTTTAGCATTTATTGTATCAATATGATGTAAAAAATTAAAAAATAAATAAAATTTTGTGACAAAAAATCTGCATAGGGCACTTTGAAAATACAACAATTAGTAGTTCGGATTAATTGTGAAAAAAAGACTGTTCATTTAAATATTATACAAATTATGAAATGGGTTGAAGTGCTCTAACATCCCATTCCACTTAAAAGCAGATCACACCGAGACCTGAATTCAACATCCTTTGTCTCCACACAATAATGCCAAAAGTCATTCCACTTCAAAAAAAATGCACAAAAGAATGTTTCAATTTATAAATAATGGAAAGAGTTCTTTTGTACTTTCACATGATAACAAATAAATTATTCATTGTGCGTGTAGCATAGAAAAACTCTAGTTGGCTACCTGTTGAAGGTGAACAAGACTTCTGGATGAAAACATATTCAAGATAACATGTCGCTATGGAGAAGTTTATCCCTAGTAAACTTAATAACCACAAAGCTATCATTAAGTAAATAATAAGAAAGCATTTACATTAACATCTAGCAGGTAGATTGATTTATTGGTGTCAATGAAAATTTTTTGTCGGTCAAATGGAAATTCAATTTTGATCTCAAACAAGGCCAGCTGACAGTCCGCTTTTTTTTTTCTTCTTTTTTGACTAACTTCAATTTCTTAAGTTATTTTACATTTTAAAATTATATGTCAAAGGAAAATAGATTTTAAAAATAAGTGAAATTTTAATAWAAGAGTTTCGAGTTCTATTCCAATAAGATCATAACTTAATTTTCCCGTCCTTGAGAGGGTACAGTAAATTAAGAATTTTTAGCTATTTTGGACAGTAAAAAAAGTCTGAATATTTTGTTTCCCTTTTATAAGCAATTTACACGAGTTTGCATACGAAATGTATAAGTTTCAAATACAATATCCAATCTTTTTCTTGGAGAATAAAAACGCGGCAAAAGTACAAATAGCAGCCCGGAAGTCCGACCACACAACTTACTTGTTTACGTAAAGTACGATTTCTTCTTTCGCCGGCGTCTCTGTCTCCTTGTAACTGAGAAGTTTTTGCTTCCAGCTCCTCTATACGTTTATCTGCAACACTTAGTAAGTCAGCAACGTAAGGATCATGAACATCTTGTTGAGAGTTTTCCCTRCTCTCYTTGGCAGGTGAAACAGTGCTTTCGATATCCATTCGCTGTCGGCGGAACGGAATTTGTTTCCTTCGTCCRCCCGGGGTTTCCACAATYGCATGTAAATTCTTCTCTTGTAATTCCTGTATTTTATCAGTCTTTGACTTGGCATCTTTCTCCAAAGCTTTCACCTTGTGCACGTATTGAGTGTTGAGAAATTTTAGATCGGCGTTTTCATGCTCGAGCTTTCGAACAGTGGCCTTCAAGTCTCGAATCTTGTCATCCGATTCCTCTCGAAGTTTTATAAGTTGAAGATGTAGCTCGTTATTTTCTTTAACTAACTTTGCATTGTCACTCCTATAAGGTTCYACGTTGTCTTCTACAGTTGTTTTACTTCTATCGTGTTTTGATGATTGTAGTTTAAGATTTTTCAGGCTTTCCGTAGTATGAACCAAGTCACTGAACAACTTTTCCACCAAAGGAACCGATTCGATTCCCAGCGCTTGGCGGTAACCCAACTGATCTAGACGCTTTCGAAGCGTCGTAAACTTTCTCTCTGTCATTTCTAGYAATCCTCAACTTACAGAATTTTAGTTTAAATCATGAATTTACGAGAAAACATGGCTAAAGTTATCAAAAACCGTTACACCTCATCGCTGCCATGGACGCTCACACTCTCTTCCAGTCCCCACGCATGCGTGAGATTCAAATTTGCCTCTGTTTACCTGTGGGGTAGTGAGAAGTRAGTCGTTGATCAACAAAAAATATTACTCGAAAAAATGTTTTGTCTCAAGTCTAACTCTAAATATAATATTTTTCAATGCGTTCTCAGCTAAGCTCATGATCATAGACTTGTTTGTATTTGTTTAAGATTATCTTAAATTCTGAGACACACCCTACCCCCCCATAGACAGTCAGCATTCATGTTCTTATTGACATTTGCATTTCTATTTGTTTATCTTGTAACGGGTCTTCATGACAACACCGGTTGAACTGCAATATTATGAAAAACGTTCTAAGAAAGTGAAAATTCACTTGTATAAGCACAAAAGCTTCAGAAAAATAGAGAGGTATTTTACTTACTTCAGCAAAGTTGATTGGATTACCTTAATCTGAGAGCCCTTTTCTCCCAAACACACCAAAAAGAAGTAGAGGCAAGGGGGTACCAGTATAGACCCAGACCTGATATATTACTCTTTAGAATAAGCATCTCATATTTTTACATTATAATGTTTGGCAACTTTTGTAAGCTGTCTTGAATGTCCAWTCAAAATACTACAATTTTTTTAATAACACTGTTAACACATTTACAGATAGTCTTGCTTGGGGCAACTCCTAAATAATAGTTGTGCAATTTCCAATCAGTTGCATAGATCCAGTTTTACAACAGCAAGACTATTCAAGTACATTTTGTACACAAACTGTTTCCAATATTGTTTCATTTTGGTTTTCATTTGGGTCATCATATTTTTTCTATAGATATACACAAGTAAAGAAAACCACAGCAATAAATTATTACATTTTATTTATGCACACAAATAAAGCTAYCTGGAAGCACTTAMGTTTAACAATTTTACATGATATTTACAAAGAAAATTAGCAATTTACAAAATTGACTTTCATGCAAGTGTACGTTGCTTCGAACATTAATTATTTTTAAAAATATTGAATATATATGATAAAAAATACATGTAATGCTGGAGTAGAGTGCGCTCAAAATCCACAGAATACATGTTCCTAGTTTAATACAAACAAAATCAATAATATTATAATAAATTGAWAGTTTGATAGTTATAATAGTAGTTAATCGATTGATTGTGTGAGTGCTTAMTCCAATAGAAAACAAAGGATAAATATTGTGTTTACTTATTAAATGGCATTCAATGATATGGATGCGGTACATGGATTCTACTCCTGTAGAACTACTGTAGCATAGTTCAAATCCTTTGTGTGACGGTAACACACACTTTTACCAACAAATACAAACTAAACTAAGTCATTCACCTTGGTTAAATGAAAACATCTGAACTTCAATACTCCTTTTGAAAGTTCCCGCTCCATTTTAAAAGAAATTAATGCCCTTTTATGGTATTTACAATGATAGACACCTGTCAATAATGTGTGAAAAAGATATCAAAATGTTCTACCACTGGAATCTCAACTGTTGTAAACCTTATACTTTGCTAAATGCTTACTTAAAAATGGCAGTGAGGAAMGGTGAAAATGAGTTTTCAGTATAACCAAATTAACCAGATCTGGCATTCAAAATACTTTTAGATTTAAATTAAGTCAATAGCAGTTTACAGCACTCACCACTCACCATAATACAAAATTCTCTATTTCTTAGAGGTCCCACTGTTAGATTATGTAGATGTACAAAAGGAAGAGTAGAGTCTGTCATACGACTTCCATATATGGTTATGCATGCACATTGCCGATGTGCACATTGAAGTCTCTCATGTCCTAATTATGTCAAGAAGAACTTACAAAATTTTCATAGACTTAAACTTAAACTTAAAAGAAATTTTTGAAGGATGCACATTAAGATTCAAACCAGCTCTATGCATTGCCTAACCCTATATTTTCCCTAAACCTAACCACTATTAGCCATATTGAGATCAATTAGCTTGAGTGAGCCTACATTGTTGTGATATTTACATATATGAACGGGATGCAAGAATAACCACGTATATGTACATCAATTGAATATATAATTAATGATCCTTCTATGGGAACATGAGAGCCTTCTMTASATCAGAGYCATGYATATGGACATCCACATATGGAAGTTGTATGACAGACTCTACTCAAAAGGTACGTTATACCTCAGTGAGCCTACACTTAACATGACAAGTTGATATACAAAGTACAACATTATTATAACATAAATACTGCAAAGAGACTCTTAGTTGGATGTGTCAGATTTAAATTAATATATAAAAAATATATTTACCATGTAAAAGTTAGTAATACACCAAAATAAATTAAATAACATTTTAACTGGAAGGACAACATAAAATAGCAATTAAAAAGTATGAATTTGARTGAGATTTCCAGAAAAGAATATCAAAACATAACACAATTATATTATTTCTTATAACAGTAACCTWTAAGAAGAGGATTCCCTCTCTCCACCAGAAACCAAAGAAAAAGCTTTCTTTCTCTTTATTTCAGAGTGAAAAGAAGGKWACCACTTTTTTTGAAGGYCCATKWGCATCAGAGAAATTAGGAAAATTCTCCATAATGGTTTTTGAACCAATCAGAAAGCAGYTTAAAAGAAGCAATCACAAAGRTTCTAAGATGCACACAATAATATGTAAATGWTGCAASCAATAGASYKAMYYA